TTTGAGAGAGTGATCTCTTGTGACTGGCATTGTGTTATTTCATATTTCTGTTTACCAACTTCGTTCACCTCAAAAGGGAAATAGTAAAACAGATTTTACTTCTATCGAATTCAGCATCTAGCAACTTCGTTTCCTTGCCTAGCGAAAAAGGCATATTTCACGCATGCTGCACATGCCAGTGAGAAACGCGGTTTCGCTTAATGGGTCGAGGAATACCATTTGTTTCACGTGATCCGCCCTTGAAATGAGTCCTTTTGCTTCATGGCTTTACAAACGAGGCATATTTTTCGTAAGCTGCATCCAATGTTTCTGCGGTAAGCGCCGTTTTGTTTAAATGTTTGGAAGAACACAATATAAATCAAGTCATCCCCGCTTGAAATTGGCTGCTTTGCTTCAGGGCTTTAAGAAAGAGGCATATTTCCCGTATACTGGACTTTATATTTCTGTGTAAAGCGTATTTTTGCTTTAAGGGTTGAAGAACGAGATTTGAAGTCATCCGCGCTTGAAGAACGAGGTATCTTTCAAGTCCTTCGCGTTTGTTATGGGCTGTTCCGCTCCATGGCTTTAAAATCGATGCATATTTAGCCATATACCACGCTTGCTGCATTTGTCTACGTAAAGCGCCGTAAGTCGCTGCAAGTCACTGCGCTTGATATGAGCTGCTTTGCTTCATGGCCTAAAAAATGAGGCATTTCCCACGTACACTACATTTGACATCGTTTAAGTAGAAAAGCGAGATGTATTTTTCGTTGTCCGCGCTTGAAATGAGCTGCCTCTTTTTGATGAGAAATCAAAAGATATATACAATTGAAGTTTGTTTATTTTTCTACACATATTAAATTCAAATTTCTTGTCCATCTTTTTGGTAGATTACGTCTCTTAAAGCTTTTTTGGAAGCTTGTTGGAGTTATAACAATGGGGATGCGATTCCTCTTAAAATTTGGAACCGCTAATCGTTAAATATACCAACTGGGATATGGGATTTCGATCTTGCCATCTGAATTGTAAACTGACCCCTCTGCTTAGTATGGGGACTTCTTAAAAGGTTGTTTACTTACAGTCGAATCAACTTGGTGTTGTAGTTGAAGACTCCACGTGGCAGTTCTGCTATCTGATTGTCATATAAGTACCTACATAAACGATATACCAAGAATCTATGGCTTATGTTGACATTAGAAGATGCTCTGAGTTAGACATAGAACAGAGATAATAGCATTTTTTTTATAAGTGGATGATGATTACTAATGGGATTGTTCTCATCAACATAACTGTTTTTATTCTTGCATCTTGCGTGTGCTCAACCGGTTGTTTGTTGAAAGTCTTACCACAGTTTTGCTGATTATGAAGTAAGATGATGCTACACGTGATAGTGTAAACCAGTTATGTAAAGGCTTGATTTTTATCAACTTTAATGACTCAAGTCATTAATTAGTATCGGTTCGTCATTGGTACCACGCAGATATAATCGAAAGGCTATGAAGTGTCCTAGCAGAGTAAATAGGCATTGAGGTAAGAGGACTGAGGTTTATTTATTCTGCATGGGAAAAGAGCGAATCTAGGAGCTAGGAATGAGAGTTACCACCTAGTGCGAATAAGAGTAGTACCTCTAAACATCTTTTAAAAAGTTTTTGAAGTCCTTTAATGCAGCTGAAGCTGCATGGAGCTGGAGCTTGAGAACTATGATTCTTTAAAGAATTTGAAAAAGATCATTCTTTCGAATGGCTGAGTTTCTCTAAGCAAAAAGTATAATTTGATCAATTTTTATATTGCTTGTGTCAAGGGAAAATACCCCGTGAAAGGTGTTCATCTGACTTGTTTTGAAACTTTTGAAAGGGATAAGTTATGACTGAGATCGGGTTTCTGGTAAAAAGGGACCTTGACTTGAAGATTAAGGTAAATTTCTCTCTCTGGACAATTCTAAATGTATTAGGATTAGTAAAGAGAATCTAAAACGTTTACCAGTTTGTACTCTCTTGGATTGATATTATGACATTAGACTACGTGATGGTATGGGCTGAATAAATTAGATTAATATAACGTAAAAAGTGTTCCTCCGACTTTTTTTTTGAAAGCAATAAGATTGATAACAATTGGATAGGATTTCTATCAAAATTTGGAAACTGGGGTTTGATGAATATGCGAACTGGGACAGAGAATTGCAACCCCGCCGTTGCAACCACGATTTTTTTAGCGTGTGATAGGATCCGTTTTAGTAATTTTAAATTTACAACGCTTGCAGGTTGATCAACGCAATTTCTTGATGTTGTTTCCGAGTGAAAATTTTCAGGTGTTTTGAAATCTGAGAATAAATTATTGTTACCAGTCATGAGGATGTGCTCGCATAGGCAAACGGGATAGATACTAAGAAGGCGGAATTCGTCATCAGTAACAGTTGAGAAATTCTCTTTAAGTAACTGATAAAAAAAGATATTTGAATCTGTTTTAACTCGAAGGTTCTACGATTGATGCCACTCTCTCTTACTCGCATATTGTGGCTGTCGAACGGCCCCTGAGTTTAAATACCCGTACGCTCAGTTTTAGAAAAAAGGATAACTTACCAATTCTATATGGAGCAAGGACTCAAAGAAAGAGCTCAATACCAGAGTCAAGGAGATTAAACTGTATTAAGGAGATTTTCAGATCATATCAAACACAATTTAAAATATAAACTTATTAATCTGTTACTTACAGGTAAAACAACTCGGAATTGTTATTAAAGACTCCGGGTGGTAGCTCCTTGATTTGGTTTCCATTTAAATACCTAAGAAATGAACATAACTTAATTTAGGATCTCTCTCATTCATTGGTAATTATGATTCCTAGAGTAAGTAAAAGTTAAGCAATATTTTTTCTTTGTAGCCGTTTTCATTTTTGAGAAAACGTCCATGAGATGACGGATAAATCGTATTTTTCTCACTATCTTTTTTTGTATCTTCGTTGAATGAAGAACTGAAAATGGGTAAAAACATCGTAAATAGTGCTATAGAGTCCCTTACCGAACAAAAATAAAGCACATTAATCAGCTCATAAAATTTTAACAGACCTAAATGGTTTGGAAAGTACATCTGTGGAAATAGAAATTAACTCTTAACTTCTTTCCAGACTCCTCTCCTTCTGAAGAAGACCCTGGGAGTTAAAGCGAAAGCTCTCGAAACCTTAGAAACCGGTCATCATTTATCCTCTGAGTGGGCGGGGGGCAGGGGTCAGAGAATTTTGTTTGTGTCATTATAAAATTCAACTGATCCCCCATAAGGCTATGCAGGTAGTCTAGGCTATGCTAAGTAGTCCCCCCTTTAAACCTAATGGATGATGACTGATCCCACCCGGCTCCTTTGTTCCTCGAAGCTCTCAGTTTCCCTCGAGCGTCGTGCTCTGTCTGCGGACAATTATCTGGGCATATTTTGGATACTGGTGTGCTGAAGTATGATTTGGTTGTTAACTAGAGGGTCATCTCTGTTTTTCTATTGAAGACTCCAGCTGGTGGCTGCTTCATCTGATTCTTTTCTAAGCTCCTGAGAAAAGGTTGTTACTTAACTCTCAGATGAAAAAAGGAAAATACTTAGTTGACGGCCATTGAACTTGTTATCTGTGTCAAAGGTTGACTCGCTGAGTTAGTCGTACATATATCTGAACGTGGTTTTCTTGTAATTGGCCTGTGTAACATGGGAATATTTAAGGATTGTAACTTACAGCCTTCGCAGCTTGACCAACTGAGAAAATAGGTCATCTCGTAACTTCCTGATCTTGTTCTTACGTAGCCATCTGGAGGAGTTGAAACTTTGTTTAACCACCACACAAGAGATTATCTCTGCTGTGTTGGTAAAGAGAGGAAAGAGGCGGGAGGGGTGGGCGACGCTATACAGCTAAAGCGAGAAAATCTGCGAGGAGGATCACCTTCCGTATTCTCCCTGCCTCATTTTATCACATGGCCGAACAGGATATCTAGCGTATGCAAATAGGACGAATACAAAAACAAACAAACAAACAAAACTGCAGAGAGATAGCAAATGAAATTGTTGCATCTAGACCACCAGCATCCTGTGATACCCTTGTTTTGGTTTCCTCCATCTATTCAACACTGCCAATCAACAAACCAACCCACCCTGTTTTATTGCCATGGCTCATAACTGACTACACCCACCAAGCGTCAGACATTTAGCAATACGTAACTCATCGCGCGTCATTATCGACATAAGCATAAATATTGTCTACTCACAAGATGGCCAACTCGGTGTTGTTATCGAAGACTCCAGGTGGGAGCTCCTCTATCTGGTTGTCATCCAAATCCCTGAATGGGGGAACAGTATCCTTGATTAATGTCGAACGTTTCAAGTTTGAGTATTCCTTTCCCCTCGCCCCCCATTCCCCCCCCCCAACCCTTCCAAAAAAAAGAAGAACTGATATACTTACAATTTCTCTGTAGAACAGGGTAAGTAACGTGGAACGGACTGTAAATGTTTTCCTTTACAATCAACGCGGGTAACGGCGCGCATAATTCCAACTGCCGTAGTACACTGGCAGGGATCTGGACACCCTAGAAAGAAAAAAAATCGTTTTATGTAAGTTAATGAATACCTGTTTGTCTATTTTGTCGGAAATGCTGCAAGAGTGCATTTGAGTCCTCTGAAAAAGCCTCAAAGTTCCTCATGAACACTCAATACTAAAGTGGGTAAGTTCAAAGAGAATCTGTGGTGCTGCGTCTGTCGCTCCGACGAAGGGCTAAAGCTCGAAACGTTAGCTTTCAAACTCTTCACGGTGGCCACTTTACGCCATCAACTCAGTTGATAATACTAGATTACCCTGTAACAGTCAATAACAAACCAGTCTAAGGCAAGAGAATTTTATGCTGGATCAACAAAACTATTGTGTCAGCCTCTTAGATGCGAAGACAGGTTAAAAAGCGTTAGGATTTGTTAATTTACTACCAATGTATAGAAAATCTGCAATTTGCGATATATTTCCCTCCTAGCTTTATTAGGTTAAGAATCATATTTTTATAACTAAAACTCACTCTCAATGACAAGACGGATTTGTTTCTTGTCAAAAACATCCTGTGTGTTCACCTCACAACTGTAATTGTTATTGTTTTCTCCAGTGATGTTCAGCTTATACTGTACACTTGTACTGTTCTGTACCACAGTGCCGTTCTTTCTCCAAACAATGACCGGTGCCGGTGCTCCTTTTGCTGGACACCAAAGAGATGAGGAATGATTGAGAAGAACGAACTGAGTCTCGGCCACTTTATCAAGGTTGGGTTTGACTGGAAAAAAATAAAAAAATAATTATTCTTCGCAATTACAAAAGCAGTTGAGTACAAGAAGCACTAGCTATGGCCATTTTTCCTTTATCAGAGGTGTAAAACTCCCAAAATGCACATTGTGTCTTTAGTGGGTTAAAAAAATTCAGTTAGTCAATACTTGCCTGTTGCATTAGCTGTTTTGTTACTGTACGAACCGCTGAAATGGTAATCGAATGTATCTGATTTTCTCAACCACAAGCTCTGTCCACTGGATCGCACAACACCAGAAATGTTTCTCCCACAAAATACACCAAGAATACTGGAAGAATTATTGTATCCATCGCGAACCTCAAGGTACATGTCATCAATGCATGGTGTTGGATTTGAAGTCTTCAAGGTGAAACTCAGTTCCACATAATGTCCTTTTGGAGCTTGCAAGAGTTGAGTTGCGTGAAACGATGGGACAACTCCCTGAGGGCGTACTTCAACTATTAATGCAACGGCTTGTAAAATCAAAAGAAAATGGGAGTACACCTCACCAATTCAATTGAAACAGAGCATCTCGAGTGGAAGCTTGTTTTCAAAGACGTTTATGGAAACGCTAAACTTGAAATGACGTTTGTATTAAAAGCTATATACGTTAGACACCGCGGAGACTGGTTATGTGAAAACTATATGGAAGAGACATCACATAGTGCTGAGCAAAAGGGGAACAACAGATGAAACTGTATCAACAGTATCACACATTCAAAAAAAATAAAGGAAGCTTTAGACTTAACCCTTCCCGAGTATACATAAATATTAATCTAATATAGACCTCATTCGGCATGAAGTCTTTCTCAACTGAAACTCTTTCGACTGCTTAGCGTTCACCTCATTTCACTGGACGTGTGTGATTTAGACCGGTGAGAATTCAACAACAGAGAGCCTGCATTTTTTTAATTTCTCTCCGATTTTTGAGTGATGAAATACGCCTCCTTTACTTTTGGAATTGCCAATAGCTGATATGATTTGTGGTCTCTTTGACAGACGGCTCTGCTTAGGTCGATAACCAACCGCTCTTCGAGAAAGGAGGCAAAGCTCCTCTCTCAAATAGACCGCTGACCATGTAAACATTGCCTCCTTTTGTTCTCCACTTATCAGAAGCCAGTGCATGCTCAAATAACAAATCAATATTTGCAAGTTTCGAAATTTCCGAATTTTCTGTGGTTGAAAAAGAATTTCAAATGGCTTTGACCAAGTTTACGGTCAACATTCCGAGATTATTACCTCTTATAGCGATTTTGAAATTGGCCAATGGTGAATAGTGTTGGTAACTTAAGCGGATTACTCGCCGATGCTTTGAAACCTAACATGATCTGTAGATATTCAGAGATATCTAGACGGCATTGACGTCATTAACTTCCTTGTTTTGAATTTTAAGCACTCAAATTAAATATGCCGATTTCAGCATCGTGCATCGCGCAACTAACGAAAACAAAAATTGGTAGGAAGAAGATGTCGCAGGTCGATTGAAATAAACCACAATAAATTCTCATCGCTATTTAGAAATTTCTTTCCCTTAAATACATATTTCATCTTTCTTTTCGGTGTCCGGTTTGCTATCAAAATTTGTTGGCTGAAATTTTCCAACTAAGCGTCTTTGAACAGGTTTTTGCCATAGGAAATGTAAATGACATAATTACGCGAGCGTGCATTCGGTGCCGAACGACGAAAAGTGAAAAGATTCTGAACACCGTTGATGAGGTTGGTTTTTTCTGTTTTCTTTCTTTTTAATATCTATATAATTTTAGAGATGATTGTGACGTAGTACATGGTATTTAGAAATTGAACGAAGAAAAGCAATAACGTATTTTGTTTTGTCGACCATATGCACAGGATAAATTACGTCACGAACATGGTCTGCAGCGCACGTAAACCAGCGATCAGACTCGAATGAGAGGCGAAAATCAACTTCGGCGCTGTGTTGTCTCATAATTTCTCAGGGAGCAGTAACTCTATTTTCGCAATGTCCCTTAGTAAGATTTCTCCACAACATGTCTCTCCCGTGCGCGTGTCGCTTGCTTTCTCCCGAGTTGACCTTTTTCGGGTCAGAATATTTGAGGAAAACGTGAGGTATTCTCATAAGAACGCATACTTTAAGTCTAAACGTAGCAATTTCCAATCCTTTGAAATAGGTTTAAATAAAACATTTCAGTCGCTTTAATTGACACTCTATGAAATAAAGACAACAGTGCTTACAGAAAGCAATAATGAAACCCCAGAAAGTCCTTCTGGACACCATTTTCTTGTTTTCAGCAATTGGCTGAGGAGAAGTTTGAAGATTGAGTTGAGTTTAAATGATATAATCAAATAAAGTAAAATGATCGGGAATGTATTTAATTTATCTGGTAAAATCCCCTTGTATGTTCTTAGAATCTCACTGGAACTTCTCTGAGCCACATACTACACATTTGACAATAAGAACAATTTAAATGATTATAATATTATGAAATTATCCTTATGCTAGAAAAGAAGAGTTGTAAATAAATTATTTTTATGTTTACTTCTCTCCTACCTTTGCAATTACATTTTCCCCAATGACGTAATTCTTAAGGAGGTTTTTTTCTTCAGTTTTTCTTTCTTTTATTTCCGCTTCTCTGTATGAGCCAGAAAGAACGTGTCGCGGTAAACAGTTCACCGGATATAAAAACGCGAAAATGTTGTTATTGTTATAATCGCGGCGGAGAATGTCTAAATAAATATTAACAAGTAGTATGGAAAATATCATGAATCAATGGAAAAATTTCTATTTTTCCCTTTTTAAGGTTGCGCAGTATTTGATGTCAGACCTGAGTAACTATAAATTTTTCATCGGCTCTTTAAGAAGACTTATGTAGTTATTCATAATTGCAATGTTTACATATTGAGGTTGCAAAATACAAGTTTTTTTTTCATAAAGTCGAAAGATCCGCCCTTAACTGGGTTCTTTTGCTGTCAAATTTCACTGACGTCTGATCATATCTTTTCGTGTATCGACCTTTTAAGTATCAAAAAGAAGTAAATACCTGAAATATATTTCCGCTGCTCCCTCACTTCGATTCAGATCGAATGCCTTATAACAGCGACGAAGTCATATAAAGAAAGCCGGCTGCATACAGCTTTTTCAGATCATTATCTTAAAATGAAATTCTTATGAAAGAGTTTTCTATTAACCTCAAGTCGTTATGGACAACGTCCTCAAACATCCGTCCCATAACGTCTGCAATTATGCCTTCAGCCAGTTTTGCATTTCTATGAACATTTCAAGGCAAAAGGTCAACTGGAGCGCACACAGAAAAGACACAAAAGCCAGTGCTTCAAAATAGTTCAAATACATCCGGCCCTCGGCGAAATAAATGCAAATGCTTCGGAACGCACTTTTCAGTATATTTCAATCTTGTGTTCCCTCTAAACAACATATCTTCGCCTCTTGGAAGATTATGGAAGGGCTGAACATCACAAAAGAGAAATATTATACAAAGATGCATGTTTTGTCATTACCGTCAGAAAGTTTACGATGGGGAAAAGTGATTGAATGTTTAATTTATTTCGCCTACCTAGACTAACAGATACATGGGAAGTGCTAGAATGAGAACAGACGCCGTTGAATTTTCATACGACCGTTCTTCAAAATATCAATCAGTAGGTGTAATGTCACCATTGTTTGGATGTTTTCTTATCCTCCGATCGAACAATTGTTACAAACGAACAAAGTATTCCACCCGCCAATCAGAAAATTTAGACGGAAAGCCAATAACATTTCTCAGAGGCAAGAACAGTTTGGGTCCTAAAACTATGATAAAACTGTCCGTAGACACGTCCAATCCAACGATTTGTCCAGATATCACAGGCCTCCTTAGTCGTGCTTAACTTCAAGAGACAACTCAGCTGCAAGAAATTGGCAACAAATCTAGCTGGATTAACATAATTCTACCAAATAAAGGCAAGAGTTTTGTGGGAAAAGTATCACTGAATTTATATTAACTTGTAGGGGAATTGATCGCTCCTATATAAGAAATTGAGGTTAATCAATTACTAGCACCTTTCCTTCCTATGATGTAACATCAAACAGTATGGCAGCCTCCATTTGTAAGGAGTTACAAAAGAAATTAATTGCAAGTTTATTTTATATATCAAGGTGAAGTTCTATGAAGCCAAAATATTTTCATCATAGTCAAAAGCCTGCGCAAATAGAATTCTCCTAAAAGTAAATAGTCAATCTTTTGATGCGATCGTTCTTTCAAAAATGTTTCTTAGCCTTTCTGATTATGCCGCTAGTATTTGTGACCTTACCAAACTTTGCAAAGTTTGTAAAGAAGATTTTTCAATAGAAGCTACATATCAGTTGATTATGTTATTCACGAACTTTAAGGAAAGAGAGACCACTGTCTTTTTAATGAATTAAAACACGAGGATTTCTTACTTTATAATTTTCATCCTAGTTCTGAAGAATCACTGATATGTGCGTTTTATTTAAAAAGCAGTAATAATAATAACAATAATAAAGACACTAAAAAAGATATGTCCACCTTCCAAGCAGATCGATCCTGTTTAAGACCAAAGCTGTTTTAATAAATTCACTTTTAAGTATAATTTAGTTATCATTGTGAAGTCTTTGATTTCTCATATTTTTTTAATTTTAAATCCTTCTATTTGTTTGAAGTGGAACATCTTGATATCATTATGAATTGTTAATATTATTATCATTGTTATTATTACTCTATATTTTCATTAATATTGTCACTGGTAGTTTGCTGAAGGCTTACACAAGCAACTTCTAAGATAGAAATCGTGCTGGTCGAAGTTTAATGTCGATGTGCTTTAATCAATAATCCTGTCCCCGAAATGGTTGCCATCGCCAGCAGCGATTGTCTCATGCACTGCCTTACTATTTTTGGTCAAAAATTCCAACAACAATAAAAATCTGCAGCAGTATTTTTTATTAAATGGGTGTAACCTTTATCACGATAGCGAGTTTCGTCAACCCAGTTTGTGTGATGACGTTTGTTTACTGGAACATATTCACCGTTGCTCGTTCGCACGCGCGAAGAATTAACTCTCAATCGACGCAATGTGATCCCGTAGGATCGGGACACTCCAAACGAAGGTTGAAGTGGGAACTTAAAGGAGCAAAGACTTTGACCATCATAGTCAGTCCCCCCTGTTTGTTTTTTATCTTGTGTACACGTACATGTCTTTACAGGTAACAGAGACATTTACAGTTATTAATCATGTTATTCTCTTTCTTCGATAATGTAATTCGCTCTTCAACCCTCTTATTTACAGTGGTATCAACAGACAATTTCGAGCCGGCATTAAAAGTTTTCTGTTGCGTAGGAACGAGAGCAAAGAAGAACTCCAAACAACGGCTGCCACCAGAACGTAAAAGAGACATGACAAGATGGCTTACGTATCTTAAGCATTTCGTAAGGATTTTATCAAATCGATATCAAGATTTTAATCAATACCAATCTTCGATCTGTTTTCGTCAGAATCCT